AATGGGATGAATATGTTGGAAGAGAACGAAAAAATAATATCGCTTTAAAGCAGCATAGCAAGATTAACGAAAGCTCCAAGAAAGGAGAGAGTTTGTAATAATAATGTTTGTTATTCCTGATGATGATCAAAGCAGAAAATTACGGTATAACTGGCAAGTGATGTGTGTGCATCGGTGCGAAATGGCTTAATTAGAGCGACAACGTAAAATTAAGATAATTGAATCGATCGATAGGAAGCACACGCAAATCAAGTATCTGTAAAATCAACCTGGCAACCACATTAAAAATAAAAACAACCCCAACACGAACTAATCACTATCCAGCTGTATGTCCTACGTAACTTACGAAGTGATTTCATTGATCGCCAGTGACGTCACATACTACACCCTCACGTCAACGGAACATCTCGAATCGCGCGGAGAATAGCGGCACATAAAAACTTTAATACGGTATAGCCTAAGCACCGCTCCCGAGAGGTGGCCGTTTTTTCCTTTTAAACCGATTTAGAAAATTGCCAAACCTGAACGTCCCTCGTAGAGCCGGCGCCTCCCAAGCTTCCGCAATAATTCGGGTACCTTACGGAAGCCCGAACTCGACTTTAATAAGGGATACAATTTAGTGGCGCCGACAAACAATTTCGTCTAATTAAAACCTACGCAAATAGAACGCTAGATGCGTATTATACACACACCATGACATTTCGTTTCCAACGCACAACCTCCCTGACATTTCCTCATTCAATTCCTTTCGGAGCATTACCATAACGATATCACGTTTGCTTTAGCCATTTAAATTATAAATGGGGCGAAATTTCCTATTCCCAGAAAAAAGTAGTTTCACTCGGTCACGTCACAGGGTTATTCTTCAAAATTCGATTATATATATATATCCATCCATCATATGATGTGTGGATAACGCCGGAGCATGCACGAAAAGGTACGTTACACTGCCCCCTCTTTAAAGCTAAGAAATGGGTACATTACGTGACAAGAACAAAAAAGTTTCGAAAGTGGTACAAACGATCTCTTGGGAAGCTTTTCCATTATTCGAAATCGCCCTGCTAAAAATCATTGCAGGTTTCTTTGGCCACAACGAATTACGCGAGTGTAACTATATAAATTAGAGGCAGGCGTGTGCGTTACAACTCCATTACTTTTACCCAAGAGAAACGGAAGCTGCATTATACGCGCGTCGAGTCAATACCAGGACCGTTGCGGGTAATTAGCGCCCCTTCCCTTCCCGTTTACGTACAAATAAATCGGGCTAATCTCACATCATTGCGCGATTTACACGTTAGCTAATTAATCATTCTCTGCGCCAAGAAGAACGTTGAATAAGGTGCTGTAATGGATTTTTTGCCCCGTCAAACGTAAAAAATGAGCCGTCATCTGGTGGTGATTTGATATTCTATTTCGGTAATGTGTTTTGTTCACTATTCTCTGGCTCTGGAGCATCAATTCATCGCAAGAACTTCCATCTCTTGAATTCGAAAGTTAATTTTAGCGTCGATATACAGTGTGCTCAGTTGTAAAACAAACTAATCCTTCAGCACTGAAGATTTTTTTCCCAATTCAATTGGTACACATAATGGACGTTTTCTCACCCCAAAATGAGTGCTAAATTACGGTTTTGATGTCTTTTTTTGTCAACATTTGCGTCATACTAATTTACATAATACGTTTTGACCTTTTCCCAATGAAATTGGTGCGTAATAATTCAGAAATTTATACGACACAGTAAATCTATAAACGTAAAGTAGAAAGAGTGTTTGAGAGCTCATGAATATCATGAGCAATAATTAAATGATAATTTTTCCGGAAAGCAAATCAGTATCAACAAAAGTTCCGTCATGGTGAAATTAAAGCGGCAATTTTAGATGAAGATAGACACATCACCATTCGAGAATATGTAATTAACCGCGCTACATTAGCGAAGCTCTACCATAAATTAGGCGCTCAGGCAATTCCGACTTTTAAGAGAATAAGTTAATTTATCGTTTAAGTAGGTGTTCAAAATGACCCAATTTTCATAGCGTAATGGAGGCATCTGACGTCGAAATAAATGTAACGTAACGGAATTTGGAAAAGTTCTCTCGGTTATGTATGGCAGGCGTCAAGCTTCGCATTTTTTTCTCTCTCATATAACAGGAAGAATGTACAATAAATCTAAAGTGCGTTGAGTTAGAAGGCCCCATGTGTGCTCTCGCAAGATTGACTGTAAATATATTCAAATTTTTTCTACTGCATTATATTCCAGGTTCGCCACTCATAACTTTCCGTTTTTTAGTATATGCAAACGGGAATGGAAAAAAAGACGCCCACGCTAAGATATTAAATGGGCGAGTAGATCGAAATCCCATTTCCAGGACCCCAACGCATCGGACAAACGGCCGATGAAAAGACCTACCATTATAGGCATCCTCCCTTCCGGTAAGTACTCGCCGATCTTTCGAACGTGCGATATAAACAAGAAAACAAGAATAATTTGGCAATCTGAAAGCAGAAGATGAATTCTGTATTGGAACTTTCTCGGGAAATTAACTTTTTGGTAGAGCGCTTGAGGCTATTACAACCCTCCGAAATAAAAAGTAATCATAAAAGATTTCCATACACAGAGATGTACCTATAGTGTATATTCTTTTCAGCACATTTTCCAATTCGTGTTGGAAGGCGCTATTACAGCCACTTTCTCCCTCCGTCCGTCCGAGGCCGGATTAATATAGTTTGTTGAAATTTTAACCATAGATGTTTCTAGTAAAAAAAGCAAACATATCGCATATTGTAAAAGTCAAATCTGCGCATGCGCAGACAGCGCAATGCTAACTTCATAGAAATTACTTTAAAATTTTAACCAAAGATGCTTCTAGTAAAGGAAATCATAGATCACAATAGCTATGGCCTTTTGGGAAGTACTGGTTAATGCATAGAAAATGCGCTACAGTTACTCGCCATAGGTCGAAAATCTGTTTGCTTATTCGTATACACGCTTGGTGGTCTCTAGGTGTGTTCTGGTATTCGTTTCGAAATCTTCAATTAAAACGTTGTAAACGATTTAAGGGATTTTGTTTCAGTAAATAATTTTTACATCAGATATTCTTTAATTTATTTATATGTTAATCTCGATGTTAATTAATAGTGTATTTAAATGTTATTATTATATATATTGTTAAGTTGTCCTATAATTGGCTTTTGCTGTTGGGCAATAAATTTATTATTATTATTTCTCATTCTATTTTCCCATTACTCATTACTTAATTTACTTATTTGCTTTTATCGAGGCTTTTATACTCGCTTTTATATAATAATTCAGAATATTTTTTAAATCCTGAAATTAAAATATATATGTTCAGTCCTTTCAGCATAGAATTGACATTTAATTATTATGAGAATATTATGACATTTAAGACACTGAAACATGGATAAAAACATTTGGAAGAATGATACTTAGGATACTTAGGGCTGGTTTTTTATGACTTCGTTAAAATTATCTGATAGATAAAACTCCTGTGAGAATAAATTTGTTTCCATGAAAATGTAGTGTCAGACTGACACTTGAAAAACATGCTCATAGGGGGTCATCCATCAGATAAGGTTAATCAAAAACCGAAAGATCAGCTTATAATATAGTTTTCTGACAAACCCGAAAAACTGAGATCTTGGCGCATAGAAGACGCTGGAAACCTTTGGGACACTTCAGACACTTGTGAATCCTAGGGGCGGTTTTTCTTGTCCTAGTTAAACTTGCCTAATAGATAAACTCCCGTGAGAACAAATTTGTTTCCATGGAAATTGACTGTCGGATAACTCTAACTGACACATGAAAACCGGTCCGTTGGGAGTAATAAGCGAGTTTATAAGTGTAATCGAAACAGCCTAACTGAAACCTGATTAAAAATATTAGAATGAGTTTATAATCAAACGTGGCTAGTATTCTAATATTTTTAAGCATGATTAACCTTAATCAACGTTTGTGAAACCGGGGATTATGGTTGGTTCCTTTGGTCCTAATTATTAATTATTACGTCATATTATAGGTATAAACTCTCGTATAAACTCCTATGTGAATAAATTTGAGGAGTTATCAGACAAAGTTTAATCCGAGGTTTAATCGAAACATGAAAGTCAGCCCTCGAGTCAGCCCTTAAAGGACAAAAACGAAAGCGATTTCAACTTTCAGACAAATGTTCTTGCTGTATCTGAAATTATTTAGGTAGGTATATCTAAATCTTTTAAAAATTGCTGAAACCGGATCTGAAATCCCATGGAAATCCCCTAAAATGACATTGAAATTGTTTGAAATCCCTTGGAATCCTCTTCAAACTAGACCTTTGCGGCTTTGCCTCTCTTAAGATATTGTAAATATTAAAATTCAAGGAGCCCCATAAATAGAATATTATTAAATTCAAATTAAAACGTTTACTTATAAGGGAGGTCATTTTTCAAAATCGTAGCTGGACAAAAATGGTCCAATAACAACGCTCGCCAAATAAGCCCAGTGGGCGTGACCTTGATGTACAAGGCAATAAAACCAAAATGTCAAAACACGTGTAATTGCACACAAAATCGTATAGAAATCCATCGATTATCATAAAAACTAAATAATGGGAAACGAGCATTAGGTAACGCGATTTTGTCGACTTTCAATGGAAATTACACAATGCGGACGTTTACCTCGGAGATTTTCAAATTTGCCCCGATCAAAAGAGGCGCGGGTGATTCGGCAAATTAGCCGGGTCGCCCTCTTCGATATGCAAGTTGCAACAAAACCTAACCTACAAATGTTTACATTCAAACATTTTTTTTAAAACCCGTTACGTAAACACTCGCGATGCCGCAATTATCCGCCGAATCGCGAAAATACGTAAAAATGCCCATTTCAAACACCTAAAATAAACTAATTGGCAAAAATGTCAGAGTATAAAATCGATGGCAGTAGTGTCTGGGGCAAAAAAGGCTTGCATAAGCGAAATTACCATAAATTACTTACAGCTAACACTTACATCCTTAACGTCGGTTATCGTTACACTTTTACGTACACTTCAAATACATAAAAACATTAAAAGGCGACGGATTTAACACAAAACATGGAAAAATAAAACGAGAGTTTCACGGAAAACACACAACATAACATCGGGAAAGTCAGGAAACGACTTCGACGCTTCGTTTGTATTCGTGCGGTCGCACTCGTCGGGCAATAAAGATCGACTATATAATAGCAATCTATCGACGCAAGCGTAAAGCTTCGACCTACGTGTTACAAAATTCATTGCATTGGCGTTCTTTTAGTTGCCTACCCACTAGCTGATATCCAAAGAGCTCAAGTGCCGGAAAATTACTATTCAAAATTCTGGTCCTAGAAAGAACAGCAAATAATAACGTCTCTCTACGATTTTCTATCGATACTTTTTATGAGAAAAAACACTGACCATCGGAAAACCGACTAGCAAACGATACCCACTCGCCACAAGAATCAGACACCAGAGAATTGAAAAAAACGGTTTAGAAAAGCTCGGTCGTGATATTCGCTATCCGTTATAGTTCTTAAAAAAAATTCGACTCCAAAGTTCCTCCCGCAAACTCAATTTTGAATAATTATCCTGCAACGTGTCTCTGACCGGGTGGAAGTTATTCATAAATTCATTCTTTATGTCGGTCTACTGCATGAATGCTTCATGTCTCCTTCACCTCACGGCCCTTTTTTTCCCACACCAAAATCAAGTCCACTTCACACTTACTTTGCATATCCTGCTCCCCTTCTCTCCAGCCTTCTTCACACTAGGTACTTTCGCAGCGCCTTTAAGCTCCCCAAAAAAGACAATCTGGTTATAATTATTTTATATCAGGGAGTATTATCAAATTTTCTTTTCTGAGAGATCTTCCATACACCGAGGTGGAGGGGGGTTTCGGGGGTAAACAATTTCATCCAGCAAAGAGAGATTTGATGGCAACTGAATGTTTAGTCATACAGAACTCATTATAGTTTAAGGGAAGACTGAGGAGTATGGAATCCCTCCAGTAACAGATGAACGATCACCTATTCGCAAAGGTTACCATGAACCACTGTAAACTGAGGGGTATTCCAAACCCCCTAGATCACCCCGTACAACGCTATCTCAAATTATATGTGTAACCATCAGAACTCATTATAGTGTAAGGATTCTCATCCCATTCCCCGTGCCCATGCCCTATTCCCATTCTCAGTGCCCGTGCGCTATTCCCATTCCCCTGCCCACACCACGTTACCAATGCCCGCGCCCATTCCCTATTCCAATTACCATTCCTCTTGCCCATGCCCACTCCCTTCGGTGTCGCATTTTTATTAGTTGACAGTTTTTCTCGTCTAATTGCTAGGCAACAGATTTAAGCAGGGGCGGACTGGGTACTTACGGGCCAGGTGGAATTGCATAGGTTACGGGCCATTAAAGTATTAGTTTAGTAATGAAGGTGGCGGGGGGCGGGAGGTTAGCTCTGAGGTGCACCACAATAGTATATTGAAAGACAAGTGTTACAATGCGACCTATTGTAATACGACTATCTTGTGGCACGAGTGGCGACGCGAAGCGTAGCCACGAGTGTCCGCAAGATAGGAGTATTACAATAAAGCATTGTAACACGCGTTTTTCATACTATTTTTTCTATTTCGGTGCTTTAATTTAATTAAAAAAATCATTATCAGAAACTATAGAGAACATTAGACTAACATGTTTTATGTTGGGAACACTTTTTATGCCGTTAAGTTTTAGGTTGGCAGCGTAGTAAGACTGACATTTTGAAGTTCAAACATGGAAGTACCCAACGAAGTACTTACTTGTACTAACTTAACTAGTAACTGCCAACTTAAGAGATGAGTTACCAAAAAAACGACTATAATCACTGTCTTTGTACAACTGTTTTCGGCCGAAAACAGTTGTACAAAATCATCATTGTGACACCGAAATAGAAAAAAACATTTTAAAGTACTCCTTTCTCGAAAATCAATTACCATAGTTTTTTTTTTTTAATTGCAGCTGATAATTAAAAGTAACAAAATATACAATCCACACGAGGTGCGTCGCCTATCATTGTATTTCAGCACTTTCATGCTACGACAAATAGTTATTTATGCAATGAGTGTATAAATGAGGCGTTTTATTGGTGAGTGAGATGATTAGTCCACGAGCGCAGCGAGTGGACTAAATTCGAACGAACCAATAATCGCCGATTTATACATGAATTAATATTAATAATTAATAATAATTAATAAGTGTTAATAATTTATTAATAGTGCAAGAAATTTTCTTATAGAATGTGGCCTGTAGAATCCATAATTTCAAACAGTTCCAAGATTGGGCTACTAGTTCAAAAGTTACAGCCCTTTGAATTTTTTTTCGAAATTGGTTTTTAGTCTATAACTTTTGATTGAGAAGTCTGATCGAAAAAGTACGAATTGTTTTGGATTCTACGCACCAAAATTAATAAGAGAAAGTGTTTTCCCGAGAAATTTTGGTGCAGTCGATTTTTGGTAAAAAAGGAAGGTTATACACTGCCTTTTTTTGAGCCCCGAAAAAAAAAATTGTCTCAGATCGACCCGGAAAAAAAATTTTCTTATAGAATGTGGCCTGTAGAATCCATAATTTCAAACAGTTCCAAGATTGGGCCACTAGTTCAAAAGTTACAGCCCTTTTTTTTCGAAATTGGTTTCTAGTCTATAACTTTTGATTGAGAAGTCTGATCGAAAAAGTACGAATTGATTTGGATTCTACGCACCCAAATTAATAAGAAAAAGTATTTTCCCGAGAAATTTTGGTGTAGTCGAATTTGGTAAAAAAGGAAGGTTATTGAGATTTTCATTACCTTAACAACCCAAATTTACTCGGTAAAATATAAACCTCCTGTGCAATTACCTATGTGACAAAAACCCTTCTGAAAGACGCCTAAATTTATGCAACCAAAATGACATGCGCACACTCATAAAAGCCACAGTAAATAATATGCTTTTATTATGAAGAGATATTAAATTTAACTGCTATTCTCCTTAAGTTTCCCATGGAATTGTCTTCCACAAAAATTAGAATGTTCAGTTTCATATCCTCCGCATTTAAACTACCACAACTGTTAAAGTTATCTCGACAGAAATTAAGACTCTTGCGTTCCCTTAAACTTTACCGGCACTATACCATTTTTTTTTTCAGTTGAATACATCGCACACGAACGAGGATAAAAATACAGAAGCCAAAGCAGTAATATTCCAATTAATTAATGTCACAGCCAGATCTTCGTATAAAGAAGTTATTTTGGTTGCATAAAATTAGGCGTCTTTCAGAACAGCTTTTGTCATTAAAAAATTGGTACATTTGCGCCATCTCTTTGGTAATCCCTATGCTTTTCCAAATTAATTTCTTGTAATAGTTGAACCAGTTCCAATGAGATGTCGCCACGTCCGACTCAATTTTTTCTTAAAGGGCAGTTGAAAATGTGCAATTTCATGTAGGAAAGTACACATAGGGAAAACAATACACACAAATCCCTATGTCTACTTCTCAATGAATATCACTGTATACTGTGAGCCATATAATACAGGGTGATTCCTATAGTACCTGCCACCGTTTGGGAGCGTGTAGGTGGTGCGTAGGGGAGTATTTTGATATAGGACACTTGGGGTCGGAAATCTAAAATAAGGGTGCCAGAGCCAAGTTTACCTTCTGGAATTTCGCGCCTGTAGGTAGGCAACCCAACCGGCCGGCGGTGCACACGGAGCGATCTCAGGCGGCGATGTGTGGCTGACACTTGATCAGAATTTTATTTAAACCCACGAAATCCCGTCTGCAACGACGCGTATCAAGTGAATAAACACTATGGCACGTTTTACTAACACGGAATACGCGGACATGCACTTCATGTACGGATTGCCAAATGGTAACGCACGAGCTGCACGACGAGCGTACGCTGAGCGGTATCCAAACCGTCAGTTACCCTGCAGACAGGTCTTTCAAGAAGTTCACTTCCGACTGTGCGAGACAGGGCAATTGCAGGTAAGCTGACGGAGGCTTAACTTTACACACAGATTCGTGATGCACATCGATACTTGGGTCATTTAAGCACCCATTTCGAAAAGTTTGTTTGTTTACACCGACCTCCTCCTATTTCGCAGCCCACTAGCGCCCGTGATCGCGATCGCCCGTTGGTAATTGCCTTAGAGGAGGATGTGTTGGAACGTTTCGAGGCAAACCCGCGTACTAGCACTCGACTTGTAGCAGATCAGGTGGGTTGTAGTCAACACACAGTGTGGAACATCGCCAACAACAACAACTTATTACCCCTATAAGTTTAAGAAAGTGCAAGAGTTACGGCCGGGTGACCATGAAAGGAGGCTGGAATTCTGCAACTTAGTCGTCCAGGAGGAAGAAGCTAATCCGAACTTTCTGAGGAGCGTGCTAGTTACTGACGAGAAAGGATTCTCAAGAGAGGGGACCTTCAATCCTCGTAACAGCCACTACTGGCCGGAGCACAATCCTCATGAAACGTTTACGCGAGGATACCAGGACAAGTTTTCTTTAAACGTTTGGGCTGGCATCCTGGGGGACAACCTACTGGGGCCTTACATCCTCCCTCCGCGTCTAAATGCCCATAATTTCCTGCGCGAGGTGCTACCAGAACTTTTAATGGATGTTCCAGTGAACTTGTACTGGGACCACTGGTTCCAGCACGATGGGTGCCCTGCTCACTACGGACGGCAGGTGAGGGAACACTTGGACCAAACCTATCCGGACAGATGGATCGGCCGTGGAGGTGCGGTGGAGTGGCCTGCCCGCTCGCCCGACATCACCCCATTAGATTTTTACTTGTGAGGTGTGATGGAAGCGCACGTCTACGAGACTCCCGTCGAATCCGAAGAGGACTTAATTGCGCGCGTCGTCATGGCCGGAGAGGCTGTTCGCCAGGACATAGGAGTCTTCACGCGAGTTCGAGGGGGAGTGGTTGGCTAGATGTAGGAAGTGCATTGAGAACAACGGTGGCCACGTTGAACACTTGTAAACGTTATTGCTTTTGACTGTCGTTTTCCCTCCTTCCCTCCCATGTCGCTTCCTCGCTCCGCGTGAAACGTCGGTCGGTTGGGTTGCCTACATACAGGCGTGAAATTCCAGAAGATAAATTTGGTTCTGGCTTCTGGCGCCCTTATTTTGGATTTCCGACCCCAAGTGTCCTATATGAAAAGACTTCCCCTAGGCACCCCCTATACGCTCCCAAACGGTGGCAGGTACTATAGGAATCACCCTGTATGTTAAGGTGCAGGTGGGAGTGAAGATGCACCCGGATCCACTGCTCCCATGGGATACTACATTTGATTAAAAAAATATATCGCAATCCTGAATGAGAGACCACCTCACAATCACAAGGACGAAGGAGATAACATGTTTTTGTTTATTATGGGCATTTCAAATTGTGAACATTTCCATTGTAAATTTAAAACCAGTCCCTTTTTAATAGTGTTCAAGATTTATTCGCACATGATTAAAATATAAAGGAATCTGAATCAATCAATAGAAGAAAACAAATTTTTATAAGTTTATTTCTAATAAGTATTGTGCTCAGGTCTAAGTGGAGAAAGTGTGTTACCACAAAGAACAACAATTGGCAATTTTGCACACGATCCACACTAACTAAAACACACATATCACAAGCTTACTACTATATAAAAAATTAAAACTATATATTATTACATTTTTCTACATTTAAGATCAGTATATAAAAATAATATTCGTTCACATGAACATTATTATTAGATAATCCTATCACATTGATTGTTTTTTACTTAAACTAAAATATTCATCTATAAAACTTGTTTAATCACGGTTGATTCACATCAACAAAAATATAATTTCAATTATAATTGGCGTGAAACATTGATGATTATTATTGAAGAAACAAATTTAAACTGATCACGAATACCGAAATGTAGCCAGTTTGAAATTTTCGTCAAAAATCTTTGTTACTGGCGCTAAATACTCTTAACACAACCACGCCTACCTGAACAATCACCAGTGATTCACTGGGTACAGTAAATCTAAATTACTTAAATTTGGCATTGTAAGTACATATTTGATAAAATCAGTAACAATATAACGGTATGACGTAGTGTAAGGAATCTCCCCCTTCATTGTACTATAAAATCCTATTGTCAAATAAAACTCTGCCAAATTTAAATTTCATACATTACGTCATAATTTATCCTATGCGAAGGTACATGTTATACTAACTTATAAAAAAATTTGTGTCACACATACGTAACGAAAACGCAAAACATTCAGTCACATTTAAATACATAAACGATGTAAATAAATTTTTATATTGTTTTGTTATTTACAGAAACAAATACTACCGATGATAATAAAGATCTATTTAGATTAGGTATAGTAGAAACATTAAATACGAAAACAGCCTTTCAAAAATGAGAATAACGTTTGCATCGCTTCGAGAACTCAAAAATTTTGATCCAAAAATCGTAACTTAACAAAGCAATTTGTGATTTCTCGAGAATGTAAATCGATCTTCTCCAGAATAATAAATATCGACATTCCAAAACTATGTGACGACGACACAAAAAGCGATCCAAAACTTTAGCTTTCTTTTTTTTCATTTAAATAAAACAAAAATATTATTACTTACTGGCAAAAATTTGCGAAACTAAGTTAGGTAACCAAATTACAATTGGCAAGATACAATAAATCGTTGAGATCAAATAATTTACAACTGATTTGTACTTGAAAAACACTTCCGCGAGTGAAATTATCATTATACGCTTAAGCGAGTAAAATACATAGATGCACCTACTACGTTTTCAATTTATACATTTAAAAAAAAACTATAAACATTTAGGAAAAAACAACATTCAGTTGAAAGCTACATAAAACCATGAATGATAAAATGAGAAAAATCAACCATGCTTATGTACAAATGCGCACCATGATGAAGCATTCAATCTTTTGTAAGCGTGTGACGAAAGGCCTCACTCACAGGTATGTGGATTCACCTGTAAATATATGTGTGCCATAAGAACCCCCAGTTTTCAATTATTAAGTAACGTAACATTTACTTCCCGAAATATTAGGACCTTTTGTGCGAATGTCTGGTTTATTCATGATCCTAGAGCATAAAGTGTGATGTTTGTCGGGTGCGAGTAAGCTGAACGGTTAACGCAAATTCAAAAGTAAATGTTACGTACGGGAGAGCGATAGATAATAGTGGGAAAAATACAGAGTGGGTGTAAATACCTTGAAATCCTTAGGAAGCGGCAAAGATTTGCGATATTAAACAGAAGAATGAAAGCGAGTTATATTTTAAAATTTTAATAGCTTCTTCGTAACTAAAAATACAATCTACAGTATGGGTTCTTCGATACAATTTTTAGAACAATAGCGCAGAGTATACAGGGTGTTGTATATAAACTGCTCTATCCGATTTGATAAACTCTATTATATATCTATATTATATAAAAATCTTTCAATTTTGTACTGCAAAATATTGTAGTAAAGTGCTAATATTATATTCTTAATTTATAAAAACTCTTTAAGTAGGTACACCAACCAAAGCATACTATTTAAATAATCTAATTTATCTTTCGTAAAAAGTAATAAATATAGAGATCAAATTTAGAGAGATTAAATACCTAAATATATAAGTAGTTAAATATATTTACAAATTATTCATTTAAATAACTATTATATATAATACGAAAATCGGAGACACGAAAAGACCAATGCAACCAATCACGCCGCAAGTAACTCAGGGTGTTGGTCATTGGATGAAGGCGCTATTTGTGAAGCTAAGTCACATTCGGACAGAAGCCGGTAGCCCACACCCCTCGGATCCGCGGTTTCCCGCTCCACGACTGCATGAAAGCAACCCCCTGTTATGTTAGTCACAAGCAAAAGTATGAAAGTTAGTTGGCAATCGGAGTCGGAGAACTCCGCCCGATTGCCCAATCACCACGCACCAAGAGTCATACAGAGATGAGATGAAAACGTTATCTACACAACTATAATACAAAATAAGCAAGACATACTGGAAATGCATGTTACTGAACATTCAGTAAACGCTAGTACCACAGTTCAGCTCGTTAAAATCAATATCCAAACACAGACTACCAAATTATGAGATTATTCCTACACATATCAATAAAACACGACGAAACGTCGCGGATTTGTCTTTAGTAATTTCCAAACGTTTCATTAAATTAGTTAATTTCCTAAAAGGCACTCGCAGCCGCCCATAAAAACAAATCCGCCTCGTTCCGTCGAAAAAATACGAATAAATATTAAATACTTTCTGTTCTGTCTACAAAATCTTTAAGTCCGTTCCGCAACTACGCGTCCTCTTGATTTTGTGGCTGACCAATTTTGTTATACAATAAAGGGCACTTACCACTGTCCCAGTCGTCGTCGTCGTTGTAGTCGTCTTCCGAGGTGTCCGCTTCGGAACTTTCACTGGGCGTGTCCTGCGGTAAGCTTGCAGATTCCCTTGGCGGAGTCACTAGCCAGCTAGGAGGTCCGGAACTTTTTGTAGGTACTCGATGTAAAAATAACGTCACCTAAAAAAAGGATAAACAATAATTACGAGGACTAAAAATACTGCATTTATTTAAACCGATGGTTCACATCAAATGTTAGCCATCTACAGGGTATGCGCTTTACAGCAGATGCTGGATGTGTACCAGGGGACATTAGAAAATTGTATGTTTCGATTTTCATTTGTTTTAAGTTAGCTGGACATGTGTTTTGTGGGTAGTGTAGTCATGTAGTGCACACAGAGCAATATTTTTATGAAATTTTGGTGACTTAATAAGGATATGTGGGGACAAATTTGTTATACATTTTTTTTCTCAATTTTTGAAGATGGTGGTGACAATACAGTATGTCCTTTTTTTAGAGACCATATAAACCATAAACATGATTATAATTTCTCAGAAACAAAACGTATTCAAAACCTCTCAACTGTGCCTTGAAGAGCTGAAAAAGTGGCAACGAGAAACTTTTTGTATTTGTTCAAATAACATCAGAAAAAAATAAAAAGGAAAAATATGTTAAAAGTTGTCTCCAAGTTACCAAAATTTTATAAAAATTTTTACAACCATTTTCGAGATATCGCCTTGTAACACTAACAAACTCACCCTGTATATTTCGAAAAGGAGACCGAATAATTTTAAAAATGACTGTACACTAATGTCAATAAGAGCACTTTTCAAGTTTGTAGCACTTCCCGTTATACCAAAAGTTGATGCGAACTTTCTTATTTTAAATGAAACACCCTATACATATATTATTTCAATTTTATATTTTATAACTAAATTTAACTGTTTTTGTAATTTTTCTGTCAAAAAATTATAAATAAACTATAAATGAGACCGGTTATTATTTAATTGGGGACGGTTTCCGTTTAAAAGATGTTCCACTGTAATGATATTAATGTTATTTATTAAAGATATAAATAAATACAAGAGGTTCAAAAACTACCATTAAAAACTTAAGCACTAATCCCTCAAAATAAGGATTAGGTATGGGTAATTCCAGCTGCACAAGTGCAAAAGTGAACTAAAAGAATCACCGAACTAGGTTAAAATGGTATCGTCGAAAGAAGATTGTTAATAAACTCGGTTATCAAATATCAAATGCCCTTTATTTATCGGTCAATGGAACATTTTTTGTTATATATTTAGAATGTGATAATGACGGTAGTTAAAAATTATAAAAGATTGTCAATTAAAAGATGATAAACATTGATCTTTTCTTATCTAATCAAGAGATGAAGACACGCAAATTTTTCAATTTTTCCAATTAACAGTTACCTACTCAACAAACCCTTGCAATTATTATACAAGGGAGATCTAATTAGACAGCCGATCGCTATATATTTAATGCTCATTGCCCAAAGTGAATTTCGAGGTGAATTTTGTCTCTAAATATCTAAACGAGTAAAAAGGTTTTCGCCCTAAGGCGGGTATCTTCGGCGCATTTTCCATGAATTGATCAGTATTTCCCAAGAAGCCATAGCTATGTGCGCTATGTTTTTCCTTACTAGTGGCATACACGGTGTTCATTTTTCGAGTGCCACTATGGGGATCTCGCATATCTTAAGAGATAGACATTTGGTTAAATGAGGGAAAAGTTGCAAATTTTCGTGTTGAATAATAATCTGAAAAGAAATTTAAAATATCTTCAATAGTTTTGAAAATATTGCAAAAAAAAGAAAATTTCTGATTTTCGTTTTTAATTTTTTCCTCGATTTTTTCATAGTAAACTAATCGTTCTAGACATTTCTAATTAACACATTATTCAGACACTTTTTAATGGAGATTTCGAATATGGCATCCCGTTTTCAATAACTTTAAAGATGACGGAGAAACAAGTGGCAACTTTAATTTTTCTTATGGACGTCGTTTTGGATTTTGACATTTCCCTTTTTTTCCCTTTACAACGATCACACATGGTATGGATCAGTAACACATTTTTCCTAAAATTACAATTTTCATTTTCTGCGAAGAGTGCTTTGGAAAAACAAAACGTTCTTTTGTTGTGAACAAAAGGTTGACTTATTTCAAGTAGTGTAATTTACGTTTGTGCTAGACTTATTGCGAAAATATTATTTATTCTTAAGTATTTTGTTCTAATTTGAATTATAATTTTCTTGCAAAACGAAGGTTCAATTCTATTCAGATGAAAATCTCAACTCAACTAGTTCCCTGCCAACGCTCCAACCAGACAGATGGATCAAACTGTCAAACTTTTGTTCACGATAAAAGAACGTTTTGTTTTTCCAAAGCACTCTTCCCGAAAAATTAAAAAGTGTCTGAATAATGTTTTTTTGCGATATTTTCAAAACTACTAAAGATATTTTTCATTTCTTTTCAGATTATTATTCAGCACGAAAATTCGCAACTTTGCCCCCATTTAACCAACTCTCTATCTCTTCAGGTAAACGAGATCCCCATAGTGGCACTCGAAAAATGGACACCGTGTATTTAACAGAAGCATCTGAACGAACTAAATATCTTGAAAACTGTAGGAGTGGTTAAGGCCTCGGACAGACGGACGAACAGAGAAAGTGGCTGCAATAGCGCACCAAACTTCGTTGGAAAATGCGCTAAAAACTGGTGTCCAAAAAGATACTGTGCAGTAAATAACATTCAGTGCTTATATGAAAAAAAATGATTTTTTACCATAACTTTTTTCTTAAGCGGCACAGAAAAAATTCTTTCCTTGGTGCCTCGCTTGGTGCAAACCTCGACACCATAACGAACTAAATCAAGTAGAGCAATATCTCGTAAGATAAAGAACTAGTAGCGACCGAATGGTTCTAGGGACGGACAAAGTGGCCACAATAGCGCATTTTTTTGTGGAAATGCGCTAAAAAGAGGGCGGAGTTAATCCTTTGGCAAATAGTCAGTAGGGTGTCCTTGCTATTTTACCCTATGCTGCTAGTCTACAGTAAGGCTGCGAAAAATAATCGATTTTCACTGACTTTCTCCTTAAAATTAAGCTCAGACACCTCGATCCATTTTTTTCGCTCTTAAAATAAAGGGCGTTTCCATAAGAAAGTGTCCAATTTGAACCACCATGTCCATAAAGATAGTGAAAAAATTCTTTCTATTCAAATCTCCTTTTACAAAAATTTACCTTTTTTGCCACAGGTGGCCATTTTCATAATAAGAAAAAATTATCAATGGGCGCCCAATAATATCGATATAAAGATAATTGACAGTATTGATAAATCGATAAAATTAATGTTGATGTAGATCGAAGCAACGGACTTACCTTAAATTCTGAACTAAAAACTTTATTCTGTTTATCCTTTTTATTAACTATGTCAAGTTCGGTCTTTTTAAAACTCAACACTAAAGTCTTTTCGTGCGATTCCACGTTGGAATTACCGTTTTCGTGCACGAAACCATTAGAGTTACTTTCGGATAGTTCCTCATCGACGAAAAAGGTGTTAAACCAAAATTGGAAAATTTTTTCTTTTCTACCTAACTTCGGCTTATTATAAAACTCTAGTTTAATGTCGCCGGTTATTGGCATACAGCAGTCCAGGTTGATTACCAAGTTCGGCGAGCTCTTCTTCACCTCGTACACTACACTTTTAAACAGTTTCAAACAAAGTTGTCGGTCACTATTTTGACTTAACGTCTGTTGGGATATCGAAAAGCAGATGCTCGCCTGCCCGCCGGTGAACGAGGGTACGGGTTCGAGCACTATCTCACGTATATACAACGCAACTGGCACATATTCGACATTTCTCTGTATCAAATTGGCGTAGTAATTCACGTACCGCAACTGGCTCGGTATCGTCACACCCTTATGATCCTGAGTCCTTGTCTGTCCGTAAAAACTAATAGCCTCCTCGGCCGTCCCGAACTTCCCGCTATGCAGCAGATAGCAGCAAATCATCGTACCCGTTCTTCCCTTGCCCGCCTTGCAATGGACGACTGCGACGTTCCTAGGATCCTTCGACAGCCAGTCCTGGACGCTATTACAGAACGGCCTTATTATCTCAATTTTGGGTGGATTGTGATCGTCGAACGAGAAGGTACACACGCGATTGTGAAACTTGGAAATGTCGTACGAACGCTCCGAACATAAATTGTAAATGTAGTAGTGGTCCTTGTGCTTCGATTCCATAAATTTTACTACGTCGTCGATGTGGTTTCGGTAGACACCCTCTATGCTCGACGCCGGGTAACCCATCGCGATTATGCTATCTGTTATGTCTAATCCAAGGTTAAGGAAAGTACTTATTTTACGCAAGGTACAAACCACAACATCCCATTTAAGTGTAGCAACCTCCCAAGGCTAAACAATGAATAAGCAGGAACGATCGTGTCGTATTTACAAACAAACAAGGAAGCGACTTATACAGAGTGTCTACGTATAACATTCATACATAGAATGCGGATATTTGCAACTCCATTTCAATTGATTACAGAATCTAAGTTTTATAAATGGCCCGACGCAAATTCTGCTAGCAATAAATATAAAAAGAAGGAGAAAAATCTCCAAATTCGTCCAATTGCTATGTTACTTAACAAAAATGTAAGTAAAAAACCAAATAAAATAGTTTTTTTGGAAGCCCTGTATCTCACCAACCAAGCCATTACGGATCCATGTTCATATGAACTTTTTTAAAATTAGTCAAAGATTCACCCTATAAAGTTTGTACAGGTAGGTACTTAACGAGGTACTTAATTAACACCAAGTATGTTTTGGGAAACCGGTACCGGTTAAGGTCCTTATCATCTATAGTCCCTTTCCAAAAATTATGGTTTATGTGGTATATGTACTGTGCCTCCCAAGAAAAGGAACGATTCAATGGTCTCCTCTCTGCATCATCTTTAGGTGGGGCGGGGGGTATTCTATACTCCCCGGTGCTACTTTCCCTATGGTCTATGGTCCTGGTTAGAATGTGAATAGAATATTAGAATGTTAGTATTTTTAATCAGTGATTAACCTTAATCATCGTTTGTGAAACCGGGCATTAGTATTTCATTTGGGAATCAACCTTGCATTTTTTCCTTGAAGTTTACCATGTATTTCTTATGCCAATAATTTCATAGCCGTGTTGATTGTTACTATGCGAGACAATAAATGAAAGAATTTGGTTGCAATCATAATCAGCCATGGAATTATTGTCATAAGATATTTTAATTTTTTCCTTTTTTAAAAATCTTTTCTTTGAATCTTTTTGAATTTTGTACTATTATATTTTTGAAAAGAGAACAATATACTATTTTTTTAAATTAAAAATATACTGACTGTTCCATTAAAAAAGTGATTTTTCATGGAAGTATTCTAAAGATTTCAGAAAAAGGTCACCTTTACCGCAATGGGGAGTGTATGAGGTTGGGCCCCTCATATTTTCAAAACCGATTTTTTATGTCTTAATTGTCAGAACTCCTAGGATTTATCAAAACCTCTAGAATTACTAGGCTACTCCGAATTAGGTTTTCCTGCAGTTTTCCTAATTCGTAAGGTAAATACCGGAGTAGTATAGACCAGCTTAAGACCTTCTGCAGAGGCACCTCTAAATAGCATTGTGCGGGTCACTCTGTAATTGGGCGCATGCCTGTTGAGGGCCCAAAACAAGAGAGGGATAAAATAAAATAAAAAAAATAAAATAAAATAAAACTGTATGTGGGGTCTTTAAAAAAATTACATAAGTAAGGTGCTAACTTCACATGCACATTTAAAACTAAAAAAATTCGGAAAGGTTCATCCTCACTTGAAACTTCGCCCATTATTCAAATTGAAAAACTACACCAATTTTATTAAGTAAATCCGTGAATGCAGAGTGGTAGTTTCATTATCAAAACTACCTCTCAATAATGAAGTATTGCCATAGACACTCTGTAATTCATATATCAACTGGCACCCTGTATTTCTCATTGCTTAAACACTAGTTAACCAATTATAAGCGTGATTAAAAAAGGATACAAGTTAGGTCCAAATTGAAGCCGTCCTTCTTATACCGGTTCCTTCTTTTACTCACCAACCCTTTGATGGGGTTGGTGATATTCATATTAGAGAACGAATTTGACATTCTAGTCGTCGGTTCCGTTTTGGAAGTAGCTGTCGCCGGAATTGGTATGCTCAAAGTTGGCGGGTATCCATTGACGTGACTTGTAATAATATCCTCATTTGTAATGTGTAGCGGAGACACTGCCGATTGTATGTGGCTGCATATTTTCGAGCTTGTATCTGAAAAATACACAACACCTCTTGTACTTTGTAGGTTATGAAAAGAGATGGGGAATGATAACCTTGTTTTAATTTAATGGTAAAATTACATCACTAGAAACCACAATTTTCGTAAAATTGTCATACAAGACCAATGGGAGTGCAAATTGGCAATTCGAAATCTCTTATCAAAGTATTTACTTAGGATATCGTACTGCAAATATTTAGCGGAAGCGGGCACGTGAAATACACAACGAATAGGTTAAAAATCGTACCTCTCAATCTAGCCTTTGACTTGCGACAACTACAACACAGACCCATAAAACTGATTGTAAAAACAATTAAAATTTAAATTAAAAGTCTCCGATTTGCTATAAAATCCCTCGATAATACATCATTCACTCGCTTATAGGGGTCAATCTTTGCACTAAAAAAAAGTCGCTAAATAATTGGCACCGAGTAATTCTAATCATCTAAAATAATTTTAGCCCTAATTTACATCACACACGCACAATTTTTAAGGAAATCGGAGCACGTAGTCACAGAACGTTTTGGTAATTCTAATTGGAACGTCAACTAAACGACAGAATTTCTTCACTAAACACTAAATTCGATCGACCTCTTATCACACGCATCTTCAACTAATGCCGTTTCGTTAAATATTTCCGAAATTCTAAAATAAAACGAAAAATTGTTCAGTCCTCTTTGTCCTACGTTGTGTGAGCAGCACAATTCGACACCACCACCACCACCACACAAACCACAAGCACTACGCGAAACGTGCTCGTAGTTCCACTTCGCAGCGGCAGATGGCGCCAAAATCGGCCAACAAAATAAGCGTGAAATTTTCAAAAATCAAGGACGCGCGAACTAATTTTAAACATTCCAAAATGAAAACAGCACACTCTTACCAATTAGCATTATTTTCGTTTCCTCTGCACACTTTTTTTAAATCACTTCACGTTCCTATAGTAAGACAAAAAAAATTCGTACGTCTGTCGTCGCAACTCGACTAAAACTTAATATGAACGCCGATTACACAACCGTCTAGTCTAGAGATTACTCACAGATAAAAGCGTAGGCATGTTCTTATCAGTTCGTAATTATCCCCATGGCGAGTGCATTTTTCATAGATACCATTACGCGCGTTTCCATGATGATAATAGGGTACCTTTTTGAGAATAATGGGACGTTGCAGTTTCTATTTCTGATAGGCAAAGCGCGTCATTAGTTTGATCTCTGATCTGCCCGAATTACGTGAATTTTTATCGGCTCACGTTACGATTATAATTGATTAATCGCGCCGAGAGTATATATCCCTAATCTTTGATCCCACACTTTTTAGTTGCGGCCGTCTGGCGCGTTTTCGAATATGACGCGCGCGCCTTTCTACGCAGCGTCACAGTTGATAAGGCACTTGATTTTCATAAAGCAGTACCAGAGTGTCTATTGCTGATTCGTGAAGGATCTAGAGTGTATTCGCACGATTGGATATGGTCGAATCCATGCAGTCCATCTGAATTGATGAACAATACGCACTCTACTTCAATCACGATTTCACCTAGGTGGGAGGTCGAGACTAGCCCATCTGCATCAAACGGCCATGTCGTAGAGAAAGACGCCTAGTGGGCGAGTTCTCGAAGCATAGAGAACATTTTTACAAGTGAGGTTTTCGCGTTCGAACAGTAGAGAAGGAGGAAAATCAGAATGACCCTATTGGAACTCCTGGACCAACGGGCAAGCTCATCTTGGACAAATCTGTAGAATAGAATAAGTACACAACCCAATCAGAAACCGGGTCCATCTAGTCTTCAGTGATCTCCACATCCTTCTAGTGGCATGTAGAGGCTGTAAAAACCCTTTAAAAATCTCGTTAGTCTTTAAGAACTTTCAATTGTCTTTTACAGTGATATTTATTAGGAACGTGATGTTTCATATATGCGATGCGTTTGCCTTTGCTAGAACTTTTGGTTAAAATTTGGAAAAAACATCTCTACAAATAAGGAAGTTAACATTCCGCACATCTGATTTTTACAATATGCGATATTATGCTTGTCTTTACTAGAACAATCTGGTAAACGTTTCAAAAAATATCTATAAATAAAAAATTCACAGTGCGCAATATGCTTGTGTTTACTAGAAGCATCTGTGGCTATAATTCCAAAAACATTTTTTCATAAATATAAAGTTGATATTGCGCATACGCACACCTAATTATGACAATATGCTTGTCGTTCGAATCTTTTTTAAAATTTCAAAAAAATATGTCTATAGTTGACACTCCACAGCCTTCTAGTTTCTAGAGACATTTAAAGTCTTAAATACCCTTTATGAGTTTTAAGGAAAGTCTCCAAGAGAGTTACAATGATTCAAACTTCAAAATGTCTCCAAAAAATAATTAATTAATTCATTGTTTTTTAAGGAACAGAGAAAGTCTTTACGAACAACGATCAAAACTTTTAAGTCTTGGTTAATAAGAATTTTAAGCACCTTCAAAACCTAAGAACTTTTAAGGAAGAAGAAGTTGAGAGTGTTACGAGTTTCCAATGGTTCTCAACAAAAAGAACCTTCTATAATCTTTAATAAGGCATATAAAGTGGTATTTGTCATTGAAAGTAGACATATAAAGACATGAAATTGAAATTGGGAAAAACAATACACCCTTGTCTACTTCTTAGTAAATATCACTGTATAGCGAGCAATTGAAAGCCAAATGTTGAGCACATTTAAGACCCTTAAGGAGACTTTATCAGTTTTTAAAGACCTTTGTACATTTTTAAAAGCTCTCAGGTCGATCTTACCCCACCCACTTCATTTTTAACTTATCACTGTTCCTAATTTTTGAGGATGGCAACAGATTAGCACTCAATTTGCCTAATTTTTGGATACAGTAGGCTTTTTCTTTTGGCGGGGGGGCTAACTTAATATGGACATTCATTCGAGGAAGCAAGATGAATTAAGAACGAGTTCACAATTCAATCGGTCAAAAAACGGCTTTACCTACTGAGACCTGTGTTTACACTTTGTGTACCAGAAATAAAAAATCAATAACAAAATTTTGCACGATTTATTCCAAACTGATTAAGAAATACAGTTATCTACCCCTAACCCTACCCCTGTTAAATCCGCCTCTTCCACGTGCACCCGGAGTTCCTTTACCTTTCGGAGGCGGACTCTTGGGTCGTAACGCCTCAATACGTTCTGTACAACCGGTAGTTGTATTTGTCGCATTAAAATATCCGCAATACGTGTCCGCATTAAAATTACTATTGGTCAATTCGGGTCCTATCGTTAACCAGCCCGGTCTAATGGTACTATCCCGACCGAAAATATGCAGACGTCGACGACCTAAACAAAAGTGTTCGATTATATGAAAAATTTCGACTGGCTTCTCCAAGCTTCCATAATCTAGCTCTTCGGAGATAATTAGGTCGATGTCGACGTTCGCATGAATGAAATCGCCGTCGGTCGACCGCCTTACGGTTCCTTTGATGCCCATAAGACAATGCTCCTTGGTACGCTGAAATACGGCCCTCGGTTCTAAATTCTTCGAATGACCCGGATTTTTTATGTTAGTCCTAATCCAACATATGTCTTCGCAACGTCGAAATCCCCACTTCCGCAAACATACACGTCCCATGTCGAGTCCCTCCGAGCTTCCGCACCACAAGAAAACGAAGCTTCTTTGTGCGGCCAATTCGCCCACATCCAAGTTCATGATTTGATCCCAAGACCAAAACTTTGTGTTAGTGACGCCCATCGTCCGTTGATACTCCTCCAATGGGGGTTCGATTAAAATAACGTCAAACTTATAGTTTAATGTCTTCAAGTCGTAAGTATTTAAATCACATTTTAAATACATGGGCGGCGTGGCGGTCTTGGAGATGAGCTCGTCCTTTAGCTTAATGAGTTCGCGCAATTTCGGATATTCTTCAAAACGATCCGCGAGTCCGACATCACGAATGAAGTTTTGGGGACGCTGGCCAGTATCTACGAAGTGCTGGCAATAATCGTTATGGGGGTTGGAAGATTGTGTACCCTGAAAGTTGCATAGTCAGGTAAATGTGCATAATGAGATAATAATATAGTAAAATCGCAAGATGGATACTTGTATTACCTTAAGAAAAGTGGAGGAGTCACGGTATACAAGCTCATCAGAGGGATCATCTTTGCCGTCAGTTTTGTCTAGAGAATCCTCGCCGTCGTCGTCTCTTTTACGCTTGCGGACATCCGAGGAGTTTCCTAATACTTGTCTTAGCTCATCGACAGTCGAAACTCCTAGCTAAAGTCACAATGTGTATTTATTGTGCGAAATGTTAATATTTACCGTTTGTGCTAGCAGTTGCTTGCGCTTTTTAGATCTTTCTCTCAGTTCTTTTAGCATATCACACATTTTGAATTGTTTGTTTAAGCTTTATCGTTGTTTATAAAAATGGCTTTATATAACAACAAAGAATAAATTATTGGTTATATGGTCATATACCGATAGTTCAGCAAAAATGCAATAGAGGGCTTTTATCGTGTATGAAGCGAAAGCACAAATATCAAATACAGGGTGTTGCGAAAAATGACGAATCAACACCATTATTCTAATCTGGGTCCCTAGGTCCTAAAATAGCATGAGATAAAGTTCGTAGTTTTGAGTAAAGCAATGATAATTGGCCCACACCTATGCTCTTTGACGTGGCACCACGCTCATTTGACCCAAGAACCCTCGTTAGTTGCCTACACAAATGTTAATTGCTACGCTGGACCACTTTTTTCGACTCTACTAAGCTCCATGGTTGTGCAAACAAGTTTAGAATATTTAGGGTCAACCGCTGGGGCACAGGTGAACCCATAAAGTAGAGGTAATTGCCTCCTCTACCAGGCGCTAACTAGCCGATTTCCATTTTTCTCCAGGAACCGGAATCGGTACCGGAACCCTTAAAAAGTAATTCTATGTAAGTAGTACGGAACCGGAACCCACAGCTGGGAAGTATGCATCTTGCTGTAATGGTGAGCATGAGCTAGTGGGTTAGAAGCTCGAGTATATCCAAGTGGATTTCAGGTTCTAAATCAAGTTTGGAGTAAAGGGTCGAGTTGGTAGGGTAGCTGCTCTAGAGGGATAGAAACAATAACCGATCACGATAAGGGATTGAGGAGGAAGACTATCGTTGGTAGAAATTCCTTTCGATGAAACCTTTCATTGCTTGGACTATACTATGAAGGATAGAATGTTCACCTCTCTCCCTCGCCCCCTTTAAAATTTGTACTAAAGACATGCCTATGTAAAATCTGCTTACTTTCAAGGCAATAATTCATGGGGAGCCCGATTTATGACAATAAAAATTTTATGGCTGGCGTCCGGCACACCTTCAAGGTTACTTGAAAAAAAAATCCAAGAAAATTCCCCTAAAAGTAGTTCAAAACCACAGCAGTAGACCCGGACGGACAAAACGCAAATTCTTAAAGAAATGCGCTAAAAATACATACGAGATGTTCGATTCTAAGCGTAAAAAAATATTTGTACCTACACATTTTCTTAGTCTGACTATAATTTGAAGGAATCTAAAATGTGACTTTATATATTTCAGGTGGGGTATGCTCTGTAGTTATAGTAAACGATACAGAGACCTCAGATCGACCTTAAATTGTTTATCAAGAGATGGCTCGATCAAAATTGTTCGAATTTGAAATAATTGCCTATTTTAAAAAACAAATTTTACGCTTAATGTAATTATTTTACTCAAAATTGGACATACTGTAAACACAATTGTATAATAATAATTGTACATGGACATTAATAAACTGAATAATAAACGAAACTGATGTTTTAAAAATGTTTCTGATAAGCCCAACAAAAACTGGTTCATATCTCTTATAATATCCTGCATTGACTTCATACCAGTCAAGAACTTGTTGAAGAAAGAATGCAATAGCTTTATTGAATCTATTTAAAGAAGGCAAATTTTTAAATACTTTGCCATTAAAGTAATTTATATTTAGTGTGTTAAGCCCAGTGTTTAGTTTTTAAGTAAGTATATGGAAGAATGGCTTGCAATTTTATGACTCCACGTGCCGCGGATGTAAAATCGGCCTCCGACACCCTCTCAGAAGTATCCGAGACAGGAACGGGTACGTCCGACTGGACTTCAGGATGGGATTCGAAGGAAGATTTAAGAGACTTTATCACCAAAATCGGAGTGCAGGACGTCAACGATTTGTATCAGGATCGTTTTAGAGTTGATAGGAAAAAATTGGAGCACATGTTGATTGGTAAGTCGCACATTGGGCGCCGTCTTCTGATGCTAACGTTTACAATTTTAGGGGATAATGAGGCGCCTGAGCCTGCTGATACATTTTTTCATAAGGCAAGGATTATCACAACGGGATGGAGGTTATTAATCTGAAGTTTTGCAGGTGATGGAAAATACAAATACCTACATTACGTGGCCAAGTAAGTTGAAAATTGGGGCGAAATCAAAAAAAGATCCTCACGTCAGGATTGCGGGCCGACCTGAAGATGTGCAGATAGCGAAGGATCGAATAATCACCGTCTTAAACACTAGGGTACCTATCATTTAGTCCATCGTCCATTATCTAAAATCCATTTTAGAGTAGTCGAGTCACCATGAAAATGGATGTCAGTTACACGGATCACTCGCACATTATCGGTAAAGGAGGGTTAAGTATAAAGCGTGTTATGGAAGAAACGCGCTGTCACGTGCATTTTCCCGATTCGAACCGCTCAAATCCCACTGAAAAGAGCAATCAAGTTTCCATAGCTGGGGACATTGACGGCGTGGAGAAGGCGAGAAGTCGCGTGCGGGTAAAAAAAGGTTCACTACCACCACAACTGGCTACATTGCAATTTTTAGAATCTCACCCCTTTGATTTTCTGCTTTGAGCTCCCAATTATGGGATCATCTCATAATATGCCCGATGGAAATACACCATACGTTGTTAAGGTGCAGCAACAATACAATGTCCAGGTGATGTTTCGCACACGACCAAAACTCCACGCAACCTTGGTTATGGTGAAAGGGGTGGAATGGGAGGTGCATCAAGTGAAGCAGGCTACCATGATGTTGGTGGAGTATATGTGCGAAAGTTTAACGGTACTATACCAAGTTGGTGCCATGTCAATTTTGATAATGCCGCTTTTAGAGTCAAATACTTATACAAATGTCCATGGAAATCTCGCCTCACCATCACTCGCTGGTGACCGGTAAAAATCACAGCAACCTGAAGATGATCACCCAGAACACCAACACGCAAATAATGTTTCCGGACGCGCAAGATCCCAACATTCCAAGTTTAAAAAAGAGCAACGTCATTATAAACGGAAACATTCACAATGTCTACTGCGCTCGGCAACAGTTAATGGTAACTGAAACCTATGACCAAATTTCAGTTAACATTTGAGTGTAGGGCTCCTTACCGTTGGTGCTGATGTTTGATTTACCCGAGGACACAATGGATCTGCCAATCGAATCCGATCAGATTGCCAAAATTCAGAGTGCCCTAGACGTTACGATCAGCATCCGGCATAAGGCTAAGCAAAATACAATGGCCTGCATCATTAAGGGAATCGAACGATACGCTAGTGAGTGCTCAATATTTAGGTCATTTCCTCAATGTGTGTTCATTTATTTATGAAAACCCCTAGGTTAATCAGTGAGTTTACCCACACCTCGTTACTTTAAATTTGATGCCTTAGTATTCATGCGTTTCCTCAAATTAAACCACAAACGGTTTTTGAATTATTTAAGTTTCTTGATATACCCATTTGGTTGTCGACAGTTCTGATTAAAGCTGAGTGAAAATTAAAAAGGCTGCAAAGCTCCATTTTATTTCACTTTTTACAGAAACTGTTTATTTTAGATATAGGGATGTATTATAAACTTGCCTTTTTTTAAGAGAAAATGGAACTTTCCATTTGTCAATCATTGACGCTTTTAATTCTCGGGCAGGAAACGTAAAACCTACTTTACGAAATCCTAAATCATTTATTTACAGCTTTACTTCTCAATTAAAAATAGGAGAAGCTGTAGGGGCAAAACCTATCGAGTTCTGGGCATAAAATAGAAGTACAGTATTTGAATTCATTTCTTCTAAACTTTAGTTTTCCAGTTTCTTGAACCAGCTGACTGTATATTATGCTTTCATTAGGTTTCTTCTTGCCTGTCAGATGTTACCTACTAATATAGAAAGTTTTTCAGAGGTTTTTGCATTTTTTTGTCCATAATCACATATCATTATTGACTAAAGCCACCCCTTTCGTGTGTGTACCAATAACCTGTGGCTTTTTTCAGGTAACATTTACGAAGCAAGAAATCGTATCTTGGACATTAGAGAACCGACTATTGTGGCAGACATTCCACCTTCCTATTTTCCACCACAAAATAGTAATAATCATTCGGAAAGCGCACCGACAATAAATATACAGCCAGTTTCGCCCTTAATGTCGCCTATGATTTCGCCAAACTGGCACTACCCACCTGCTTCGTACAATCCACCCTTCGTCGGGATGCTACATCAGCCGCAGTTTACATACAGCATGATGCACGGATCTTTAGCTAGTAGCGGGTGAGAGAAAATGCCACTGTATATTTCATGTAGCGTACGTTGTTTCAGCTACCACTCGCTAGGGCAATTTTCTAGCAGTTCACTATCACTGGAGCACAGTCACGAAAGCGCAAGTCTAAATTCAATTTCAAGCGCTAGCCCCCTTTCAAGTCCGAAAGCAAGTCCGCGCCATAACACAACTGCTATTGGCCGAGGCAGTACAGACTCACCGATTTCTGATAAATCAGGTAGGGACTCACTAATACGCTTTTGAATCCCAAAAAAGTAACACTCACATTTTGCAGAAGTGAACTCTGTTCTATCAGACATCAACAACGCAAACTACCATGGGACGACGGTTTCGAAACGTTCTGATAACAGTCCAGACTTTGACCAAAAACGACTAGCTGGAATCAGAGCGATGCAAATGCGACCATCTGGTGGATACAGGGTTCCGACAAGTACTTGGTCGGGCTACGGAATAAGCCATACGAGCCCCGGATCACTTCAGTTAGAGTCAAGTTCGAACAAGGAAGATGACATTTGGAAAACAACGGCGACGAAGTTAGACACGACATTTTCATCACCGTCCACTAGCGGTCTAAATACAAGCAATTTCCTCGATCACACCCCATCGAACGTAATAAATAGAATAACAAGTTCTCACTGGCCTGACCTCATCTCACTATTAACTTCAATTCGACTAGAAAAATACGTTGGACTATTTACATCGCACGAGATTGATTTAACTACGTTCCTTTCATTGACCGATCAAGATTTAATCGAACTTGGCGTTACCGCCTTTGGTGCGCGACGTAAAATGCTGTTGATAATTTCAGGTGAGTGATTTATATAACCCGTTTCGACAGGATCATCAGCGAAAAATTGTTGTAACCCAATTATTTGTAGAACTTAACAAACGTTCGACGCCCTTCTCTGCGGCACCCGGAGCCGAACGTAAGAGCTCTTCTTCAACTTTAAGCAATCACAGCAGCCCAAGAGAAAATTGGTAAACAAAGTTTCTGACAAATGAGCAATTTCCCGGATAACGATGTGGGTTTATGAGCATGCAGACTGTATATGCATGGATGCATGGTAATCGTTGTATTTATTATGGAGTGTATCGTTTCTAGATTATAAGGGTGGCAAAAATGATATTGCTTATTTGTTGTATTTTATACATTTAATGATGAAATTTCAAATTGATAGACGCAAATAAGTGGTATCACTTTCTAGTTTAAGTATACTAATTAATGTTTTATATGTCTGCATATAGGTATAGGTACGTTATATTTATACATCCGCAGTCTTTTTACTCACTTTCGAAATTTTTATACTTTTGAAAACTTAGATTTTTCACATTTTATTTAGATAAATATTTTTTAATGCGAATTATTGTTAGTGTCTCTATTGAGCAATTGATTGGGTCTATATGTCTAATGCCTACTAACACTGTGATTTTAGCATGTAATGTATGTTTATAGTTATAAGAAGGAATGCACTAAAGGTACCTATTTTAAAAGTTTGTTAATTGTGATTTATTGATCAAAAATGATTATGATGCTATAGATATTGTTAATGAAATATAATAAATTTGTTTTGCATGATTGCTTCATTTCTTGTAATAAAAATCATGCAGGGCGGATACTCATAATAATTTGTGTATTGTGTTCCCTTATATTTCCCATACCACAACCCACCAGCAAGCTTTATCTACGACTGGATATGATTCAGTTGTACTGTGGCTTATTCCTTATGAACCTGACGAGCTTATCGAGCGACTTCATGACACCTCAAACAAACAAAAAAATTTCTGCATGATGCAATCGTTTGGAAATTATTTCTTTCCGTATCGCTTTGCCACGTGCCAATTTTTCTTTTGTTATAAAAATTATTATTTTTTGTTTTTATTCTGCTACTTAGTAAAACTATCAAATATGTATGGTGTCCGAATATTTATGTGTCAGTTAATTGCGCTAGTTTTCCTATTTTTATATTATGAGAGCATTAACAAATAGGTTTTTTGCTATTAGACTTAAATAATAAACTTATAATATACAGTGTGTCCCAGATCGCGTGGGATTGCATGGGTAACTTTGTTATTATTAAAGATAGAGAATTGGTTAAATGGGCAATGTTTTGCAGTTTTGGATGCTTATTTAAAATTTTCTTATGGAAATTCAAAATGTCGCATAGGTTCGACGTAAATTCAAAAAAACTAAAATTGGTCATTTCCTTGAATGTTTTATATCATCGAAAGTATAAGAGATATAAAAAAAAAGTTTTATATAAAAGTGACTGTCTTTGATACGCTAAATTTAGAATTGATGTAAAAAAAAAATTCAAGATGGCCACTTTTGAGGAACATTTACCAACTTCCTAAAGTTAAGGGCACTATATTGGATTTTTAGATTACTTATGATAGATTTTTTAATTCTCTTTTCAACCAGCTATTATAACATAAGATTGAAAATAAGATACCAGTTATATTAACGGTTTTTGTATTTTAATCAAGTAGTCTGTGACGAATAAACAAAAACAAAACAAAACCTATTCGAGGCAACAAAACAATGAAAATAATTACACCAGATGTTTAAAATACTGGCCATTATTAGTGCAACACACTTCAAGGCAGTTTAGTTTAGGCAACGTGTTGCCATTGATGATTATTATTATTATTATTGTAGTGGTAGCTACTTCCACTTTACTTTTATTTTTTAATTAAGTACTTAGTTTTATAATTTAATGTACTGTACATAATTCGTGAATTGTGACCTGAGCAGCTAGGTTGTTGGTAGGTAGCATAAACCAACCCTTTCTTCAAAACATATGTTGTCGAGAAAAATCCTTTAAGGAAGTTTATTGGAGAATTTGTAAATCATGGTGAGCAGTTAAAGATCCAACGAAGATTACATTACACGCCACAAAATACATTAATTTAAAAAAATATTACTTGATTTTGGCGTGAAACTACAACATGTAGGTTTTCCTGTGACGAGTATAGTGTTCTCCTTATGTCGATTTGAACACTCCGCAGTTAGAAAAATAAGATTCATCTGTCCAAAGACTCGGACTGGTAAAACTGTTAGTTTCGATATTCTTGCGGATAAACCACCTACTGATCTACAAAATGTGACCTGGGACAATGCATCAATGGTAATACATTGTGTAAAATAAAGCAAAGTGTCTTGAAATGTGTTTAACTGGATAATGGCATGACATTCATTCGAGGGGATAGTGTGTAGTTATACCACCATTTGTAGGTATGTAAGTATGGATAATAAGATAGTCAATAAGTGATGTTATAAAAACCAAATTTTTCTAGGCCTACCTACTTATATAAAATTTTGGAGAGAGTTGTAATGCCCAAACCCCCCTCTCATGAGTGCGCCCCTGATTTTTTAAACATCTGATGTAGGTAATTATTTTCATTGTTTTGTTGGCTCGAATAGATTTTGTTTTTTTTTAATTCATCACAGCCTACTTGATTAAAATATAAAAACCGTTTATATAACTGGTATCTTATGTTATGATGGCTCGTTGAAAAGAGAATTAAAAAATCTATCAAGTAATCTAAAAATCCGATATAGCGCCTATTTAACTTTAGGAAGTTGGTAAATGTTCCTTAAAAGTAGCCATCTTGAATTTTTTTTGACATTAATTCTAAATTAAGCGTATCAAAGAAAGTCACCTTTATATAAAACTTTTTTTTATATCTCTTATACTTTCGATGATATATAAGACATTCAAGGAAATGACCAATTTTAGTTTTTTTTAATTTACGTCAAACCTATGCGACATTTTGAATTTCCAAAACTAAATTTTAAATAAGCATCTAAAACTGCAAAACATTGCCCATTTAACCAATTCTCTATCTCTAATAATAACAAAGTTTCCCATGCAATCCTACGCGATCTGGGACACACTGTATAATAATTATTTCTGTACATGATATTTGTGACTTTGACATTGAATCGAATTTATTATTTTTTTCGATTCTATTTTAAAAATGCTAATGCCTGAACATTTATGTGTTAGAGATCCTGTTAGTACCTATTTAGTAGTGATATTGCTATTGGTAGTTCAGATCAATGCATCACAATGATACACAAGTCCCCCCCCACAGAGATAGGGTGAAGTTGGTACCTACATTGGGGGAACATCCAGTGTAAATAATGGCAAAAGGTTGTATACAATAATAATTCACACATTTTTAATGTGTGGGGGGAGGGAGACTCAAACCTCGTAGGTAATAATTGGAGGGGCTTGAGCACCCAGTCCCCTAAGCCGGTATCCTTGGAATTGTGTTATGGAAACATTTTGAGAATCCCTTGAGGGATGTTGGCTTCTATTAGAAATACACAGAAAGTATAAATGTTGGTAAGTATATACTCGAGTATATAAAAGCAAATTACGTAGATGAACAAAATCCTTACTACCTAAGATTTTTTTCGAACTGAACACCTAGTTGTCCTAGGATTTTAATGTCGTGTTTTACATGAAACTGCTGTTTAAGGTCACTTTGATTAAAATCAGCTTTCAGAATATTACAAAAACCGCTGTACGAAACACTTAAAATGAATTTATTGAGGCATAAGAGACAGCCCAGTACGAAAAAGAAAAGCTCAAATTGCATCTACATAAAAATGTTCCTTTTATTGTTTCAGTATCTTCCCCCAGACAATAACACATGTAATACTTGAAGTGAAAACTTAAAACAATGCCGTAAACAATTACAAACATAATTTGCTCTTTAAAAGATGTCAACTGTCGCAAATTCGGTACTAGAAGTAAATAAAAATACTTAATTCAACTAAAATAGTCATGCTCAGTTTTAAACATACGATGAATAGTGACAAACAGTACACAGTAAGTCCTCTCATACACAATCGATAACTTAAAGCAACATTCTTAAACATCAACAGTACCATTTATTTACAAATTACAAGAAATTACTTAATCGCCTTACTAGTGACAACGCGATCAAATAATCTTGCAACCCTCTCATACTTCGCTATGTATTGCTCGTATTCTGCTAGATGTTTCACTAAAATATCTACGCGCGGCTAATCTAAATCTAATCTTGGAACGGGCAACGAACCGCAGTGCATTTTTGACTCCTTCATTTTATTTAACGACTTCACTAAATCGTCCATAGTGATCGGACGTAGCGCATCATGAAATTCATCCTCTGAATCGGTCATAGCGTTTCTATTACTAATACAAGCTTCTTCGTTAGCGGGCACATTACGCATGTAATCACGTACACGGTACACGGAGGCGTTTCTGCAGAGCTCGCGTAAATCGGAGCCCGAGAATCCGTCAGTTGACTTTGAGAGGGTCGTTAAATTGACTTCACTGGAAACTGGCTCGTTCTCTAAAATTAACTGCAGTATTTGTAAGCGCTGAGGCGCATTCGGCATCGGAACATGAAAAGTGGCAGGCATGCGTCGTAGAATCGCGCGGTCCAGATCTTGTGGACGATTTGTAGCACCCATTATGATAACTGTGCAACTCGAATCGGTAGATAGTCCGTCCCAGAATGACATGAACTGCGCCTTCATCATCGCGGTCGCCTCGTGATCCGTACTATTCCGCATCCTTAAAAACGAGTCGATCTCATCAATGAACACAATGCAAGGTTGCAACTTGACGGCTAACGTGAAGACTGCGGCCGCCAGCTTCTGACTTTCGCCGTACCACTTGTCGGTGAGAATTGAAACGTCGAGATTAATGAAACGTGTCCCCGCTTCTTTCGCGGTCGCCTTTGCGATTAGCGTTTTACCGCAGCCCGGAGGTCCGTGGAGCAGTACACCTTTCGGCGGCTGAGTCAGCTGAGAGTCAGTGAAAAGATCCTTTCTTTGTATGGGTAAAATAACGGTCTCACGTAGTTCTTGCACTAAACCTTGTAAACCGGCTATATCCTCCCAAGTTACCAGGATATCCTCCGGGTGCACCAAGTGTGCTGCGATCATCATCTCGTAATCACTAAGTTTGTCCACGGACAGAGGAGTATTACCACTGCCGGCTAGCCTCCGTAGCTGTTCTTGTGCTCGTTTCTTTGCCTTCTTCTTACTTTTGTTAGTGGGATCCACCTGATTCATTAACCATTTGATACTGAGAAACGTAACTGCGGACACTAATGTTAAACGCACCACTAACCCTATTATTTCAGTTCTAGAAAATGTGTCTGACATCATTGTAGCTTAATGTGTCTTTTAATTAAACTCTTATTAAAACGAAAAGGCGCCAAGTTATATGGAAAATTTTACACTTACATCATTTTCCTTTATACCTACAATGAGGAAAATTTCGATTTTCGATGACTCGCTCTGATAAAGGATAGGGAGGTAAAATTTGACTGTATGTGAGACACAGATACATGTGGTTCCCAACACTATGATATACAGGGAGTTTCATAAAACTGAACATATAAATTCAGGTAAAAACAAACACAATAATCTGTTCTAATACAAAGCAAAAATAAGTGGGTCAGTTAAAATAGTCAAGTCAAATTAGTTGCAATTAAATATCACTTTAGAAAAGTATTCATATTGAAAAAGCATTATTTCACTTGAAATTTAAAAGAGTAACGGAAAAACAGTATTACTCTTGTTACTATTTAACTTACAAAAGCAGTAAAAACTACCCTTAAAATCATATTACAAATTTTTAAACGTTTAGAGGGAAATGAAAGATATTCTGAATGGTCTATATGTAGCGGGTGTTCAGCGAGGAATGGGACAGCGGAATATCTCGGGAACGACTGCAGATTTTGAAATTCTAGAAAGTTTGTTATAAATGTAAGCTAGTACCATATTTTTTTTTAATTAAATGCGTCAACGCTACGTGGCGCTACCTAACTTAATTTTTTTAAACGTAATACCCTACTTTTATTAGATTTTTGGAATTTAAAACATATTTGTGATAACTCTTTCGCGCCATGGCGTGCCTTGTAGTTCCACTGAACGTAGTGCAGCACACCACATTACCGGGAGATTCATTGATGTTTGCCGTACAAGGTACAAGAACAAAGGCTTGTTCCTCGATGAGGAAGCTTAATTTAATTTCAGTCATCTTACTCAAAAGACAACTTATGACTCGTACAAATGTTTCGTAACGTCGCGTCGCTTCATTGCAGTGCAGTTCCGCGTAGTGCGGTCTTACCTTAAAGTGCGTGTTTTAATCTCGAGGGACAGTGGGTAAAATGGGTGGCGCAAAAGAAGTGATCCCTTGAGAAATAAGTATAACTTCTATAATTTTCAACATAATTTTTATTTGTTTATATACACAAAATCTACATTGAACCCAATTCATTCGCTTCAGAAACTAACTTGCGTCCTTATACACAATAGAAGCATTTCCTCGAAAGTCTCCATAGCTTTCACTACAGTTTCTTTATCAATGGCTGTTAATTCTCCACAGCGAAAAAACGATGTTCAACGTTCTACTGTAGGACTATGTAGTTCAAATGCAACATCGAGTATGACGAGTTGCCTACACACCAGGGTACACATTCGAAACTCGCACCGTATCGTATTGTTATAAATTTTGAAGCCATTAACCCTACGTACAACGTTTAATTAATTTTAAAATGATGTAAATATGTAACAGAGAGTTTCTATGATATGATAATATGAATTTAGTATTAATTCTTTCCACGCGTAAACAAATGAATTGTTGGGAAACAATTGCAAATCAATAAACAATGATGAAGTCCATAGCAACCTGAAGTTTATGTGTTTTGTAAATTTTGTGTCCTGTACTGCCCAAATGTAACATCATAAAGCAAAACTACGGTAGGTCTTTGAATTTTATATTAAAAGAGTAGGCACCAAAATTTATAAAATATATCGTTCTGACATCTGTTGTAAATATAGTGAACTGAAAGCTACTTGTTGCCAATAAATCTAGGGAACTTAATTATTACCATCTTAATGTTGCACTACATATGCACAGATGTCGCCACCTTACGACAGAAAACTGCACCTACCCCACCAGTAATAATATAGTTTCTTGCACGTATTGGCTTCAGATAGAATTCGATTTAGCAAACTAACGTTAGATGTCAGAACGATTTATTTTTTTTAAATTTCAGGACCATAAAAAAACAAACTGCATATAATTTTGTTACATTTAGGCAGGTATAAGTAAACAGAATTACTAAACATAAAACTTTACCGTTTATAATAATTGGTTGCTGTGTACTTCAATTATTTTTCATACTTTTCGTATTATACAACCAAAACCCCTCTTTTACTTATTTCAATAATCATTTGAAATTTAACGAAATGCCATAACGTAGGGTGACTTCAAAATTTGAATATATACCTACTTTAAAAATGTATAAAAATGCGATATGGTCCTAGCCCTGAGGGGAGCAATTCTCAGGGTAGGCTCGGGTCCGACGAAGACTCCACTGCCTTCACGAGCCAGCTCTTCCCCCTTTTGTTAACCTCTATTCCGCAGTACGCTGGCACCCAGATCAAGCTTACCCTATCACCCTACACTGGTAATATGTGCCTAATCTATCTAGAGTTTGCCTGCAATGGCAATGAACTGGCGTAGCCGATCGGAACCTGTCTATCTGACAGAGGGCCTTCTGCATATGTATACACACATGTTTATTACGGTAACATTTATGGAAGTTCTCCTGTGCACATGTCATGCCCTCCACTTCCCGGTACACCCCCAACTTTGGGTGCTTCTGAATCTCTAGGCTTCTTCTCAGGCTGCCCTGAGCCAGACCCTGGAGTGCTTCCCTCCGACCTGGGACGCTTGGTCCCTGACGTGGGATTGCACCCCTGCGCCAGCCTTTGGTGTAGGGCCCGCTTGACCCGAAATTTTACTCTCGAGCTGCCGGGCGCTTTCTAGCTTCCACCTTCTGATTCTTCTTGCGATTAAGAGTTGGCCCATCACCAGGGGCCGTTCCCTCTTTCGAGGAGCTTGCCCTTTGAGGGCCCGGCTTGTTAATCCCCTCTCACGAGGAGCCCGGAAAGGGTTTGTTTGAGTACTCGCCCATGCAATTCCCACTAGTAATGCGGAAATGCGGTCTCACCTGGACAGAGCCGCTTGCCCAGGGCTTGGCTGCTAGGCTCTTCTCGAGGGAAAGGAGCTACCACTCGGAGGTCGCCCGGTAGGGTCGCGAACATCTTGATTTGGGAGGATGGTCTGCGGCGACGACCTTCGTTGCTACCAGTTTGGCTTTTAGTTCCGACGAGTCACTTGAATCGTCACTACCCACACCGAAGTTATGGACTAGAAACAAATTTCGAAAGAAAATTTAAAGGGCTGTAACTTTTGAACTAGTAGCCCAATCTTGGAACTGTTTGAAATTATGGATTCTACAGGCCACATTCTATAAGAAAATCTTTTTCCGGGTCGATCTGAGACAATTTTTTTCTCGGGGCTCAAAAAAAGGCAGTGTATAACCTTCCTTTTTTACCAAAAATCGCCTACACCAAAATTTCTCGGGAAAACACTTTTTCTTATTAATTTGGGTGCGTAGAATCCAAATCAATTTGTACTTTTTCGATCAGACTTCTCAATCAAACGTTATATAGACTAGAAAAGAATTCAAAGGGCTGTAACTTTTGAACTAGTAGCCCAATCCTGGAACTGTTTGAAATTATGGATTCTACAGGCCACATAGTCCAGTAACTTTGTTCCTGAAAATGGGGGGTACCAAGCGTCAAATCCGGTAGTTCTGATTTTTTGTAGGATTGCTTATGTTGTTAACCCAATGTATAATTCAAGTTTTCGACCTCGAGCGGCGAACGCAACATAGTCAAATATACTAAAAACCGAGGAATTTTCGTTTTCTTTTCAGATTTTGACGATTTTAATCCTGAAGGCCCAGTTTTTCGCCAATAACGGTTCAATAAGTTTTCAAAGCAGACCAAATAAGGTGAGAAGCAGTCATAAGGGAATCAAGTACACTCTATACTACGATGGGCATCGCACAAGGAAGTGTAATTGGACCACTGCTATTCATTCTTTCGGTGAACGACATTGATTTAGTCTTACCCCAGGGCGATAATTGTTTAATTACTAATTACGCAGACGATTCTAACATCCTGATAGAAGCAGAGAAATTTGATAACCTAATGTTAAGTAGCAACAAAGTGTTCGGTGACATGAGGGCCTATTTTAGTGCTAATCAACTCCTCCTCAACGAAAATAAAACACGTGTGCTCTTCAAATCTGTGCATTCAAATTTAAGTGTGCCTGACGTAATCAATATTTGTGGTGCTGAAAGGCGCTTGTGTGAGAACACTAATTTTTTGGAATAACTCTACAATCCACTTTGAAATGGTCCGCGCGTATAAGTAGAATCTGCATAAAATTAAATTCTGCATTGTACTCTATACGTGTCATGAAACCATACCTCAATGTGCATGTTTTAAAATCTGTTTATTATGCGAATTTTGAAAGCCGGTTCAGATTTGCTATAATATTTTGGGGGCATAGTTCTGACTGTGAGAAAGTTTTCTTAATACAAAAAAGAGTAATCAGGTCCATTTTCTCGTTATCATACCGTCAATCGTGCAGAGGCGCATTTAAAGGTAATGGAATTCTTACCTTCTCAGGGGTGTATATATTTGAAATATTAGTGTTTATGCTCAAGAATAAACTTTTATTTAGTCACGATAAAATCGGACACAGCTACAATACAAGGAAGCTGGAGGCGTCGTACAACGTACCCATGCATAGACGAACTGACACGGAGAAGAACTGCTATTATTCGTGCATCAAATTTTATAATAGACTTCGAACAAATATACAAAATTTAAGTAGTCTTAATGAATTCAAAAGAGCGGTGAAAAGCATATTAATTCAAATTGAACCCTATAGCATATCAGAATTTATGGAGCACCAGCTTAAGCTTTGACTATATGTATTGACAATACTTGCGTCAAATGTATTTCAATGTAGGTAATTGTAAACATTTTTCGGCAAATATATTATATTATTATTGTTATTATTATTAATAGATTCCGAGATAATTCTTTTCAAAGATTGTCAATTTTTCGAATTCAAAAATCTTTCACAATACTTTATGGGTGACTTTTCTATTCTGTTTTACACAGATGCCAAGAATGGGCGGTATTACGCTGAAAAATAAAACGTCCAGCGAATTTTGTAAGGCGTTTTTTATTTTCCCTGATTTTTTTCTGATCTAGAAATGGTGGAGGATGTATTGTGGAGAGATGTTACACAAGATACTGACAATCCAGCCACAAACCTTTCAAGTGAGGAAATGGACGATGCTCAACCGTGCTCGTCCAAGAAGGGAAAATATACTTAGATGGAAGTCAAACAAAATTTCTTTTTATAAAATGACTGTTTT